CTTTGCTTTCTGCTGAGTTTGAGTTAAAAGGAGGTCTCAGAATTCTATGGGAAAATAACAACATCTAGTTGTTTATTTCAATTAATTAAAGGTGAAGAAAAAGAGAAATTTATTGTTAGAAGAAAAGTCAGATCATCTCCGGGATTGGGGTACACACCAATATAGACTGAGCCATGTCAGCTATGAAATTTGTGTAATTTTAGTCCCTGAGCCTTGATTGCCTATGGGATCCTGTCTGAATCCAAAAGATTAAACATAGAATCCCAGTGATGGGCTGCCTCTCATCAGAATGAAATCACCAGGTGCCATCAGGATTCCTCAGTATCTAGCCCTGGTGACAATGGCAGGGTTATTTGTACTCATATACGTGACAAAGTGCATGGGTAAAAATGAGTATGTGTAATTATAAATAAAACAGACACATCTATTTTGATAGAACAACATATAGAGTTTTGGGGTTTTTTAAAGGGAAACTGTTATATTTTGGGGAAGCTCAAGATCCCAAAGGAAACAAATGCTTTGCCACTCTCTGACCTTACTCCTGGTCTGATCCTGAGATTCAGTCTGCTGTGGAACTCCTGTGGAGATGAGCTCTAAAGCTCTTCCTGAGTTCACAGCTCGAGTGCTGTTTGCCTGACTGACGTGTCCCTCGGTGTGGACATCACAGTATATGTGGCTGTCACTTCTAACACATAAGACTGTCTTGAGGACAGCTCTTCGTCAGATGGGTTTCTGCAGGTGAGCATAAACCTGAAGAAGAATGACCTGTTTTCTGTGACTCCATGATAACCTCATTCTCCCAGGACCACATCTCTTTTCTGGGACAAACTCAACCCCAGTATGTATCACAGTGTGATGGAGTAAGCAGGGCCAGTGCAGTTAAGGACCAGATCTCTGAGGACTTCACCAGGCCAAGTTTTGACATCTGTGCTTGTACCTAAGGACAAGAACAATTGGCCCCTCTCAGGCACAAATAGTGACAGTTTCAGCAGTTTTCCTGGCAATAACAAATGATCTAAACATTGTGACAATGGCAAAATCATGTGTGATAATATAAGTTACCATCTGTCTTGGTGAAAAACATCAACACATCTTCTCATAAAAAACATGCACAGAATGCATTTACATTTGGACATGTCAATGTATAGTTGGTTCTTTTAAACATGCCCAGGTGTGACTCACACATGACAAACAGAGACTGATACTGAGAACCTGTCACCAGACTCATGAATTGACCCAACAGTCTTTTCTTCTATCCACAGCCCTGCAAGCCTATCTGAGTAGATTGCTGGTACCAGCCATGTAGGGAGTCTTCAATTTCCCCTGGAGATTAGGAGCATATTTTCATTTTGGGTGCCCCATAATTACAGCCCCTGGTGTTTCTATGATGTCTAGTATCATCACTGCACTTACGTAGACTATTTCAAGAAGCATTTGGAATTAGGCATAGGATTGTAAATGTTCTATCACATAACTGGTCAAGAGAAACCACACTCACTGGAAGTCATTCCTAGTACGATGCCATCAAAATTAGTCGCACCAATTCATATTTGTTGGAGGAGGGATTGTCTGCTAGAGAAACTTGGGTAACTGTAGTTGAGTAAAGAGACATCTCACATATATTAATCTAAGGGGATTCCCTTGTGCCAGGTTCAACCTCTTTATGTTTCTTCAGTTTAGCAAAACCAAGTGCTCTACAGTAGCAGATGAACACCATGGAGCCCATGAATGAAGACACGTGATGGTTGTCAGTACAGGTGTATGCTCTGTGAAAGGCTTGAGGTGCACTCAGGGAATCGGGAACGAGCAGGCTTTGAACATGGGGTATAGGATTGGCTGTAAAATTTCAGAGTCTCTTTCAATTCTGTCAGTAAAATGAATCAGATCTTCAAATACATACAGAGATTGACATGTAAAAAAGATATTTAAAATTAAAATAAAAAAACATTAAAAAAGAAAAAATGTGAAATGTAAATAACAGAATAAATTAGCTGTCCTACAGGTGTTATATTTAGAAATTATTTCTTTCAGGTTTTTCGTTGTATTTACTTCTCTTTTTGTGATAGTTTTTTTTCAAACACACATGAATCCCTTGAAAACTGAAAAGTGGAAGCCGTAATACACAAACGTAGAACCTGTATGGTAAAACAAATGAACAAACAATAGCAAAGCCCTCATTTACACTACAAGGCAAAGAACCACCAAAGATGCCACCGAGTTGATTTTGTATAGACCACATATACCTTGCCATGGAACTATACCAGACATTGGTGTCTTTGGCCAGTGACATTCCCTTGAAGAAAACTAACTATTCATTTTCAAGTGGCTTTCAGAATTTCCATGAGATCAAAATGTCTTCTACACAATATGCTTCCAATATTCTTAGAAACATACACTCAGATTATCACTAACATAGGGTCATTTGGATCCTTGTTGTCAACTTAAAAGTGCTCACTCTTTGAGCCTTGGAGGCAGATTCACCAGGAAACTTCTGAATATAGTGAGAATGGATTCATAACCAAGAGCAACAAGACCTGGATCTGAGATCCACAGTAGAAGCTCACAGGAAGGACACACTGTCCAGACCACACAGCAGCCATCCCTTAGCTCCAGATGATTGGCTGAGCTCTGAGTTAGTGCACAGAGGTCAGAATTAGAATTATCTAATTCAATACAGGGCAGACGTCACCATGATGAATGCTGTAATGAAAATATTTTAATTAAAATAACAACTCAATCATTTCTTAGATTTATATGCACAGCCTTCCAGAAAGGAGAGTGGGTTGGACAACTCAAGGTGCTTACTGTGACTGAGCCTGATACCCCTTCCACTTGGTTCCCTCTGATTTCTAACACTGGTCCAGTCTAGGATCTGCCCCAACATCAGTATGAAGGAAAAGTCTACAAAAACCCCCTTACCAGCTGGTACTGGGGACCAGAGAGAATCGCTCTGCATTTTGTTCAAGTAGGAATATTAAATGTTTGTTATAAGAATGCTTGTCAACACAGAACTCATCCTTTTCAGAGGCATGATCAATTCCTAGGGCCTATAATTGCCGAAAGGATCCTCCAGAAAACAGGCAAATGAAGATCACAGCCAGTTACCTCCAAACATAGGCTTCATGTGTGCTGAGCGCCCCGTGCTGGCTTTGTAAACCTGGTATGGAGGTTTTTGTCTGGGTTCACACTGAAGAATCGTCACCGTGTCCTCAGTTCTCAGGTTGTTCATTTGCAGGTAGACCATGCTTTTGGAATCATCTCTGGAGATGGTGAATCTGCCTTTCACCGAATCAGCGTAATAGGTTGCATAATTATAGGGTTCAGTACTTATGCTTGCAACCCACTCCAGCCCTTTTTCTGGAGCCTGGCAGACCCAGGTCATGGCAGCATCACTGAAGGTGAATCCAGAAGCTGCACAGGAGAGTTTCAAGGACTTTCCAGGCTGCGCTAAGCCTCCTCCAGACTCCACCAGCTGTACCTCACACTGGATACCTGCAAACAGAGAGGATCAAGAAATTGTCACGCATGTCTACTGTCTCTCCCATTCTTGTCCACTCACGCACTCAGTATCCCTTGTCATCTACCTTTTAAAAGAGCAACAAAGAAAACCCAATGCAGCCTCAACACCATGTTGATTGTCATGCCTTCAGCGCTTGTCACTGAATGGAAAGACAGGGCAAGAGTTTCCTGCCTGACCTGTGGAGTCATGGCAGGGCTGGTTTTCATGAGCAGAGGGAGGATATATTTGCATATCTTCCTGCTATATCTTGTTCTCAGGTGTGTGTCAGCCTTAGAGGCAGCAGCTAATGGTCGAAATGCCTGAAGGACAAGGAAGTAGTGAGGACCATGATTTCATTAAATTATTATTCACTATTAGTTTATAAAAATATTCCACATTTTTACTGCATGTTTTTCAATTTTTACATCAACTCTTCACTGCTTATCTTATGAGATTTTGCACAGTAAGTTTATAGAAATTTAAAAACTAAAAAATACATTTTCATAATTCCATGGGAACTAATGTAAAGATGAATGAATAGTGAAGTATACATTAAGTTAAAGTACTGAAAGTTGGCTACAGGAGAGCATGGTGGGAAAGTCTAACATGCACAAGGTCCCAAATTTTATCCTCATTATGCAATGTATAATACAGATAGATAGAAGTGTATAATACATACACATATTAAATAAACATTAATATTACAGAGGCTTTTCCTTGTGAAATACTAAAGTCATCACAAAACGTTTATATATATATATGCCAAATATTTGTGTTTGGGTTGTGTTAGTTAACATTTTTGGTATCTGTGACATTAATTTTCCTAGTCTCTGGAAACAGAGGGAAATCTGTTACCTGGTCTGTACTGATGTGGTTTTATGTAGTCCTGTCTCTCTAGTCTGCCTGATGATATAGAAATTTCTTGGTGGCTGTGGCATATGTCTCAAAAGACAGCCTGTAATAGTCATCCTGTAATAGAAAGGAGAGTTGGGAAGTAATTGTTTAACTGCCTAATTAATTCAAGTATTAGAGAAACTTTGTTATGGCTAAGAGTTCTTGTGGACTATGGCATGATTGTTTCTGTGGCACCTGCAGGACAGTGATGTCATTTAAAGCAGCTAAATACAGTGAGCTGATGGTCTGAAGTCACTTCTGCTTTGAGTCCTTAGATGACCAAATCAATC